ATAAATATCCCCCCAAAAAGAATTACTCAAGTAAAGATACTCAAAAAAAAGTACTTATTCTAGTAAATTTACTTTGTTACTTACCACCACTGTGTATATAAACCATATAATGCAAAGATTTGTGGTAGATTTTGGTAGCTTGGTTTGGATTTTGGCAACAGTACAAATATTATCTGGGTATAAGATACATTTTAGGTCATGAAGTATATGTATGGAATAGTGTCAAAAGCTAATTGTAGCTGTGTAATGGTAAGTGAAGGTGAGGATGCAGAGCTATGGAGTATTGCGTCCTCGGCATAGAAATGTGTATAAGCATTTGAAATATTTTGATTAATGATGTTGATGTAAATAAAAACTAGCAGTCCTAAAAGTAATCCTTGAGGTACTCGGCTGTTAATGCTTAGTCTCATGATTCTGGTGCTGATGGCTGGCTTGATGCTCATTTCAATTACCTAGCTCTGCCCTGTGTCTCATCACTTCCAATCTGTTCCACCTGCTCCTGCTTCTATTTAAACTCCTTGGTCCAAGCCATCAGTGCCAGATTTTTCTTGAGCCTATGGCTTTGAGAGTTCTCTAGCATTTTTTTAGTGTTCTGATTGCCTGATTTTGATCCGTTTCTGTATTTGGACCTTTAAGCCTGCCTGCCCCTGTCTGATCTGTTTGCCTGGCCTTTCTTCTGATCTGGATCTGCTTCTTGACTTCACCATGTGGATTATCCTGCCTTTACTTTGTCAGCTCGGATCTGGTTTCCTGTCAACTCTGCAGCCTTCTAGGCTTCTGTGTCTGGAACTCTCTGGCAGCGTCTGCTACATCTTGGCAGTCGACCAGCTGGAATCATCCTCGTTCTCTGGGCATGAACTGAACTGTCAAACCAGGTTAGTGACTCACGCGTTCACAATCATCCTCTGTAAGCTTATCATAGTTACTCTCCTCTATTTTTCACAGATAGACGTTTCTGCCTCAGAAGCCCTAGCTGCTGCAGCCGCTGTCATTGCAGATCCGTTCCGTCATTGTTTGAATATACCCTTTTTAAGTATTCCAGTCTTTCTTGCCTGAATTCTGGTTCCTACATTCTGAGTCATAACACTGAGTGCTTCGGAGTTGAAGTCATCAGCCTCAACACAGCAAGTCCATCCATAGAGGTAATTATGAATCAGTTTACAGTATGGTATGAGGGACCACAGGCAGCGAGTCTGTTCCAGGAGTGTGATCAACAGTGTGAAATATTTTACAGTAGCTAAATTTATGAAAAAAGATGCAAAGTGATTTTTATGGTAAAAGTTATATAATTGCCTAATTCTAAGGCTGCAGTGTGCTGTTTTGCTTCATGAAACCAGATTCTATGTCAGGTGTAATTTTATTGACCATAAGAATTCTTTTTAACTGACCACTCGCAGAAAAGGGAATCTAGAAGTTTTTCCAGAACAGATAGGAGAATGGTCTGTAATTATATATGGAAGTTGGGTCACTGCCTTTGAACAGAGAACAAACAAAAGTACATTTTCAAATTGGTAGTAGTAAGACCTGAGGAAATAAAACCAGCTGCTAATTTAACGACATACAGACTGAAATGGACCATTCATTGGTTGCGTAATAAATTATTAATTGTTGTAGTGCTGTGCTTTAGCAGAGGTATTCTAGAGACGTACCAGAATTAGAGCACATGTTGTAGTATTTCTGTCAAACACTGGAAATAACCACAGACCTATTTAGTTTTATACCTTGGCATGAATGTTTATATAAATAAAATTTGGTATTATGCTCATTTTGTGCAAATGTTCTCACATGTGATACCAAAGGAAAATGGCAAGCTTCTTCTGTCAAGTTTTAACAGAAAGCAGTCCTGTGAAAATCTGCTTCAATTGATAGAGTTGTAACACACCGCATTACACTGCAATATATGTGAAAAAGGATTCGATTACACCATTGATGAAAAACAAAACTAAATGTTGTTCAAAGTCTTTATCTTCTGCTTTTTCTGCTACCTAGTCATTTGGGTAGCAGTCTCAGCATAGATGTCCAGGCTTCCCTCAGCCCAGACACCCCCTCTAGTTACTCTGGTGCAAACCTGAGGTACTCCAGGGCCTGCTAAGACACATAATCCTTTCAAATGTGTCCTGGGCCATTCCCTCAGCCTCCTTCGGATGACATGTACCAGGAAAACTTCCAGTGGGAGATGACTGAGCTCCTTATATATTCTTTAACAGAGACAGACTGTGGAGGAAGCTCATTTCAGCCGCTTGTATTCACAATCTTATTATTTTGGTCATGACTCAGATTTCAGAACCATAGGTGAGGTTAGTATAGTAGCGCAGTCTGACCAGTTAAAGAAGTGCTTCACCGTTTGACTCAGCTGTTGGTTACTTTTACGACTTCTACTTCACTCTGTTACTAGTTCGGAGTAACTCCATGACTTCAAACATTAAACATTTAAGTCCGCCTAAAAAAAGGAGGGCTACTCTGCATATCCCACCAGCATTACACAGATATCAAGGTGACCTGGTGGAAGTCATCCGAGACAAACACCTCAGGATTCAGTGTACAAAGGGAAGAGGTGAACCACTTGTTAGAAAGCAGGGCATTCACATTCTGATGTGTCATATTGCTTGTTAGATTGTCAGACAGACTATAATTCTCTGCACCTAAGCATGATATTTAAGATCCTGCTCCTTAAGAGACAGGTTAAATGGATAGGACAGATTTCCCTATTGTGGTGCAATTAAGAGATATTTAAATGTAATAAAATATATATATATCAATCATTTGAACCAAACTCTCCAAAAACAACTATTTGATAAAGAGTTGACTTTCTTTGACTTTTCAGATAAATTAATTTGACCAAAATTAAACAGAAACAGCTGCTGTGCTGGTTTGATATTTCAAAAGAAGATTCCTTGATTTTTTGTTGCTACAATCCCATTCCTGAGCCGGGACTGTAACACTCATTACACTAATTTTATTACTGCAGTAAAATTAAAGTTAAAGGCAGAATCATAGCTTTCTTTCAGCGAGAAAATCACTTGGCTTGAAA